GCTGCCCGTTCATAAACATCAAGGTCAAATCTGAGTTTACGGGACTTCCTGACCTCTCTATAGAACAAGTCTTTGAGGGTTGCCAGGTCAGGAACATGACTCATTCCGGTCAACACACTCTCCCATTTCCTTAGGAAGGATTTCAAGTCATCGCTGTCAAGCGAGATTTTCAGGAGGTCTTCCGTACCATACAGTGCACCCGCTTCTTCACTGGTTTTGAAGTGGACTTCAAACATGAGCAGAACCTGACGACCGCGAACGATCCTACCTTGCTGTGCCTCAGACTCCTTATAATTAAGGATTTGCTGAGACAGTTCACCTTTGGCGACCTTAGTCAAAGCGGCAAGAAGTTTCGTGTCTAAGGTCCGAAACTTGCCTGGGTCAGCGAGCTCGGAACAAGGCTTTGCTTTGTCCTCCCGAACGGCGTACACCTCAAGCACCCATGCAAACGCAGCATCTGGGTCGTCGGACGCGGACCGTATCGCTTCGCGAACAGCGGCCCTCCAAGTGCGGTACCTGTCAGGACTCGGGAATTCAGGGAGATCTATCTTATCGGCCTCTTTTGCCTTGGGTTTGTCGGAATCTTTGCTTTTAGCGCCCTTAAACCCCTCTAGCAATTCCCTTTTGATGATTTCCCCTAAATCCTGATCTTGTGGAGTTCTTACCTGAGATGCCGGCCCTTCATCCTTGCGATCATCCTTTTTCTGTGCTGCATCCTGGTTAAAGGAGCTTTTGTACAGTGGGTCATCGCTGAAGTTGTACTGTGCCGACTTCATCTTGTAATCCATCCACGGATCAGGTTGCTTGAACTGTTGCCTGTCAGTGGAGGCTGTTGCCTGTTCATTTGCCTTCGCCCCTGTCCCAGAGAACATTGAAGGAAATCCTGTGTTGCGATTTGTTGCCGAAGCATCCATCGCTGTCTTCATAGGAATTCCGGCCGGGTCTGTGGGCGAACCTTCTAAGGTTGCAGGAACTGTACCTTCTGTACGAAGAGGTTCGAAGGAACGAGGTTGACCAACGGGATGAACATTCGGTTGAACAGGAGGTGGAGGTTGCTCTGGTTGCTGCGGCCCTGGTTTAACTGGGCTAGCGGCCTGAACTTTGCGCTCGGTTTCCTTGCGCTCCTCCTCCTTGTCCGACAAGGCCTGAACAACACGTCTAAGTTCATCCATTTCACCCTTCAACGCTACATTGTCCTTGCGGAGTTCAATGATCGTTTGCTCCTGGGTTTCGCGGTCAACCGCATGTTGCGACTTAGTCGCCTCCATTTCACAAAGCAATGATTTAATCTTTGCTTGCGCAATTGCCAATGAACTGGACAACTCCTCACGCTTGAAGTCAAGGTCTATAGCAACACGGGCTTCCTCAGCTGAATTGAATCGAGCTTTGTCTGTTGCCTCTAGTGCTGCCTTCAACTTTGCTTCTTGTTGTTCCGTGTATTGCTGGTGCTCAGTTCGCATCCTCTCGACAAAAGCGTTGGTTTCCTCCTCCAAGGTACCCTTTTCCTGCTGAATCCTCTCATTAGCAGACGTGGCCTGGGCTAATCTTTGCTGAAAGTGCTCCCGTTGTTCCTCAAGTGTGCTTTGCAGTCTTCTGATCGCCACATTATCTTGATGTTGAGCCAACTGTTGCACATTGTGTTCTTGTTGTTGAGCTCTTTGCTGCAAATTCAGCATTGCTTGCTCCGCCGCGGCCTTCGTCGCTGCTATCGACTCAGACGCTTCCCTCTCATAGATGTGTCTGAACCGTAGTGCTTCATACTCAGCTTCGCGCCTAGCTTGCTCGTTGAGCAACAACTCATGTTGCTGTAATTCCCGTCGTAGTTCCTCGTCACCTGGCGTAGTGTTGAGGTTGACGACATTGAATCTGGTCATCGCCAACAAGTTGTTTACTGTTGGCGCACCAGCTACGGCGGCTGACGGCATACCTGCTAGGGTAGCTTGTGTCGCCTCTTGAAGAGCAACACTACCACCACTGTTTAGCATCTCTTGGTATACCTCCGAGGCTACCCTTGGATCCATTGCAGCAACTTGTGCGACAGCCCTTTCATGTCGCTGAACTGCGTCCAAACTATTGGGTGTACTCGGAATAATGTCAAAGCCATTTCCGTACGAGTTCGGTGCGGTGTCGTCATCCATCGGGTCCATAGCTCTAAACGTGCTAGCCTACGGCTGATAACCTGTATTTTACAGGATCAGCTCTAATAGTTCTAACTACCTAGCTAACCCTGATAGTCCGGTAAGCGTACCTTTTGTACTCTACCTTGAGAGTCCACGCTACGGGGTCCATAGGGGTGAGAGGAATTTCAACACTCTCAAAACACGAAAAGAAATGGAACCTCCGGCGTTCAATTCCGTTCACAGGCCGACTGGTCCCGAAAAACCGGATTGGAGGGGTGCGGCCCCTCCATATGAGGGGTCCATGAGCGTCTGGGCCAAAGGAATCCTTTGAAAGAAACAGCTCGAGTCGTTTCAAGTGTCTGCCTGCCTATCGGCCTATCGGGCCGAAACGGAGCGCTCTATGTAAGGAGTCCCAACTAACGAGCCGCCCCTGGTCAAAACGAGCACCCGGCGCTCCGAACAGCGACATTCCCGCGAAGGGATTGGCCACGGGCCTTGCCAGCTGGAAAAAAAGACATTTCTGCTTGGCTTGCGGGGATGATTGGTGTGCCACCTCATACAAGAAAATTAGAGAAAAAAAGAAAGGAGCATGAGTCGACTCCAAAACGTGGCAGCAAGCTCAGGCTGCAGCTGACTGGCCTGAGTTGGGCGCATCGTAACTGATTTGACATGAAATACTCTGATTGATGGGCTCAACTCCACACAACGATTCGGGGTATATCCCATGGGTTAGTAAAGGAATTCTCAAACATGATGATGGTCCTTTTTACCGACTGTGACTGGAAATGACACCGGAAGGTATCGTTCTGATCTACCACTGCTTTCCACCCATCTTCGTCGAGCGGCTTCATCCGCGGGCTCGCTGCCCTGCTTTGGCTCAATCACCTCAATCACCGTGAAGTCGGAAAAAGCATCACCGGCCATGGCTGGTGACCCCTTTGTTCCGGGTTCTTTCGAATGGACGAAGAACATACACCACGCCCAGATACGCCCAACGACGTGCATCGAAAATCTTCCAAAAAGGTAAACCCTCGACGGATGCGATCAGGCGATCTGTTCCGAAGCCAAGCAAAGCAATTCATCAATCACTTTCTCATTCCCAGCAACCCCCTGCAGCTTGCAGGATGTTTGCAGAAGCTTTGCTATTGTGCATCTGCCAGTTCTCTCCCAACTTGGACCCTTCACTGAATCTTGTGGCTGGACTGGCTCTTTTGCAGGTTTGGGCTCGCTTCCCGTGACTTCTTGCACTTGACATACCTGGCTCACCAACCAGCAGTTGTTGACAAAGTGTCGCCAAAACAAGACAAAGCAATAAGGTAAAACTGGGAAGCCGGGCCTTGGCATTGTGTTCCTTTGCATTGTTGAACGCTTCTTGGAACCTAATATAAATGCAGGCTTGGCAAATCAAAACCACATTGGGTGCACACTTTTTCACTTGCTTCCGTGCATCGCTGACAAAGGATCTGACTGCTGGGCCAGCTCTACTTCCTTGAAGCGTAGTGCAAACTGCTCTACCTGAGCTTCGTCCTGCACAAATATGTCTCGGAAGGCTTTCTAATCAACATTCTTTCTGCGCTGCATCCGCCATATTCCTCAGAGTAGTCCATCATTGTCCAAACCCAGCACTTGTCGCCTTAAATTTGAAGCAAGTCGCTCTAGAATCTTTAAGGGTCACAAAAGTACATAGACTTGCTGCTTGTAGCTTGGGGTTCAGGCTGCCTTGGTTTGGTTTCAGGTCACAGTAGGGCGGGAAGGCATAGATGTAGTGATTTGCGACCTCGTAACACTCGGATGCAAGCTGTTTTGAGCAGTGTCCACTCAAGGCCTTGAGCCTTTCCCAACACATCTTTCCTTTGATGCTGAGGTGTGTCTCAGGCAAGCACAATCTTGCCAGTCCTCTCTTGTCGCATCATGTAGCGAATCTTGCCAGTTCCCTGACAGTGTTGCTTCGGGCATGTAACGAATCCCCCACAACAAAAAGTGGAACACATCTCAACATGCCTACTGCCTACCTACCACCTTTGGTCCCGCGCACCCTGTGTCTGAGCAACTTGGAGTCGCCGAGCCCCCTCTCTTTCCATTCGCCATCTTTAAAGCGATACCTGCCAAAGCCAAGACCACGGCCAAGAACAAACTCCATCAAACTCCCTATCCCTATTTCTGAGCTTTTGGCTCTCTCTCTCTCTCTCTCTCTGATGCCAAAAAGCTCACACCGCAACAACCTATCGGCGCACAGCTTGGACCGTTGGGAATAAATCTCATCCTCATCTTCTTCGCCCGTCGGCACCTCCTGAGACGACCACGTCCGCACCTCGTCCGGTCCGACCGGAGCGGATCCGGATTCGCGTCGGTCGCAGCGACCGAACACATCGAACGGGACCGCCACGTGGTTTTGGTGGCGCTTTTGGCCCTTGGATCACACGATCGCTACGCAGTTAGAAACTATGCTCGCTACGAACGGAACAAGTGCATCGCTTCGTTCGTAACAAGTGCCTTACTAGTAGTTTTTCAGAAGCTAGTAGAAACAAGACTTAGTAATTGATCTGCAGAAAGACTTCAAGTTCAAGTTCGGTCCTGCAGATCCAGTGACACTGAAGGGGCCCAACCTGTGGAGTCGAGTTCGGGTTCGCACGTGAGGACGTACCAAGTGACCATTGGGCCTGGCACCGCGGTCACCTCCTCTTCTTCCACAAGCTCATTTTCCTGTGCTTCCGGTCCATCCTGAAGAGGGTCCAAAAGCAGCTTTTCGTGACACCATGTGAGACCAATGGCTGAAGCATGAAGCTACTTGAATTCGATTGGGGTCCTCAGCCATTGGACGACCAAACAATGTACACCTACGAGGGAAGCAGAGGCATCAGCTACTTTTCGAGCCCACGCGGCAACCAAGTCAATATATCCTGCACATGACTCCTACCTGCCAAGAAGTTCTCTCAGCCACTGCTCTTTCCGCGAGCTGCAAAAGCCAGCACTTTTTGCCGTTCCAGCCGTGCCAAGGTCCTCGTTTCGCACGGCGATGCGAGTCCCGCTGCGGAAACCTCCCAAGAGCTCAGTTGCAACCGGTCCGTTCACCTGTCGTCACCGCGGCATCCGCACCGTCGTCCGTTCCAACGGCGTTCCACCGGGCGTTCCACCCCACATGTCCACCGGCATCTGCTCGACCCGGTCGCGTGGACCCGGTGCTTCCGAAAGCGCGCGGTGGTGTCTCTCAGTGTCCCGGGAGTCGGGAAAACGCCCGAGCTCAGCTCAGCTTCGACTGCATGTAGGAGGAAAAGCGGATAGGAGACGGTAGGCCTCACGAAGTGATGTGCGCAAGCACTCATCGCAGCAACTCATGGCACAGCTTGGCGGCAACTCATGGCACCGGGCTTGGGGCTTGGAGAGACAAATTGATCGTAGGTCCGGGCTTGTGGCATCCAAAGCGGAGAAATGGGGTCCTCCGAAATGTTGGAGGAAAACCACTACTGGGATCCGGGGTTGGGGTTGGCCTTTTCACGTCACTACATATCACTACCATGCGACACACCTGTGCCACGAATCCTCCCCAAACCTTTTGGAGAGCCTCTAAATGGGGCCGTATCCTCTGGTAAAGTCCTCCGTCCGTCCTCCATCCGGCCGAGCTTCGGGTATCTCTTCCACCTTCAAAGCGAAGTGCCAAGGGCAAGCGCGTGTCTTCCGATCGCCATGGCAACAACCCCGGCTCGCCCAGAACAGCGTGCCACAAATACTCCACGACATAACAGGGCATGTTCGCAACCTCAGTGAACAGACGGAAAACAAGCGCTCTTTCTTACATAACCGGGCTGGTCATAACCAGTAAGCCTCTGATATTCCTATAATATCCATGATAAAAATGATTATGTGACAGGTCAGTAATCCCATAATATTGTTTCATAACAAATTGCATCGAACCCGTTCAGGTGGAATGGCCCAGACACTTCACATAGCCCACCGGCCAGGGCCGTGTAAGCCCCCTGTTGCACTGCAGACAGTAGGTTTTCCAAGCGTTCCGGAGGAACACTACGAATGCGCTTGGAGCTGACGATAAAGTGACCGCAGCAGTAGGTGGAAAGGCGACCCTGAAGCTCCTCACCGAACACCAGCTTATAAAGCGATCTCAGGCAAGGTGTGGAAGCAGATACATAACGCTCATGAGCAATGTTGAGATAGTCTGCTGTGTATGATCCATGAGTCAAGCTGCGGAAGATGATGGACAAGAAATCAGGCTTCAAGTGACGAGGAGCATCATCATGGATAAAGACCGTGTAATCTGCCAAGGAGTTGATTGGCGCAGCATCTGCCAGGCCATTCAAAATGTGGCGCAAGTAAGCAGTACACTCACCTGTCATCCACTTCCCCTCATCTTGCATTGGCACTACCAGGATCTGCGCTACTCGTCCGACGAGGCCTCAGGGCTGAACTTGAGGGGTGAGCGGACGGAAGGTAGGCATACAGTATTTGGGAGGTGTGGAGATCAAAAAGTTGGAAGACATTGGACTGGTGCTTGTTCTTTGGAAGTGGTCCAATACACTTGGCCGTGTGCGCAGAGTGTGACGCACGCGTTGCGCAGCAATTGTCTGAGAGGAAAGGCATCGATCTAGCCTAGCTGCTTTTCCATTCCTAAAGTAGATTGCATTTTGTAAAGATACTCCAACAAATAGCTCTACAGGTAAATTGAACTCAGGTAGCCTGCGCATACCTTTACCCTGAGAAATGTGAGCAAAAAGCACAGCCGCACAGGCAGCTCCCACAGGCTCCTTCAAGCTGCCTCTCGAGGTTGCCATCGCGCTCCTCACACTTGCTGTAAACAACCACACGGGCCTGGCCATGAGCACAAACCGGCCTGAAAGAAACAAAACCTCTTCGTCAATCCGAAAAATTTTGCCTCAGAATGGAGCATGGGACTCCTCTGCGCTTCGACTCCTGACTTAACCAACTTCACCCGTTTTGAGACCCGTTCATTGGGAACAGTTCCAACTCAGGCCTGTGGAGGGAGCGGCAGCGACCACAGCCACCGCAACGTCGTACTGCAACGGGCGATCACCTCAGAAGTTGTATTCTCGATTCTCGAGATGACTCTCTCCCTTCATCGGGGGATCTATACCATGGGGTGAGACTGAGAGAAAAAAGACATGCACCCAAAAGGCGCAAACTTGCCATATCATCAGTAGCTCTGACGAGTCGCTATATCAACGGATGGTACTTCGCTCGAATCTCTCGAGGTCGCCTCCGCTCGAGCCAGCTCGGCGCGGTGCTGCCCCTCTAGCACTGGCCACATCTCAGTCATCGTCTCGAACTCTTCTCCTGAAGGCCCGAGCTCTGCCCCATACACCAGAAGAACAGAATCTGTGGCGTCTGTGGCCACCAGCGCTACAGATTAGAGTCAAGAGGGGAACAACTTAGAACAACGATGTCAAGTGTGATCCTAAAATATCCTAAAATCCTCCCTCTGTAAGCTGAATAGATCGGTTGACCCTTTTTCCATTCGAATCCCCCTCCAAACCCTCCACGAACGAATTCACCACTCAGTGATTCGGTTCTTCAGGGAGTTGCTGTGAATCCATCCATCCCATCATCCATCCAAGCGTCTGTCCGAATTGAGCCTCAGAGAAAGCAACGAAAAGAGACGTTCACAAGGTCAAGGTGTTGTCGGGGGGGGTGCGAATATGAGCTCGATCTGTGCGAATATGAGGGGGCACCCGTTGTCAGGAGGTCCAACCTCTTCATTCGCCTGAAGGAGAAGAAAAAAAACGAAACCGGTTGAACCCGTCGTGTCTTTCTTCTACAATTCTACGCGTCTGACACATCATATAGCTCGAACGGCGAGGTTCAAAAACTGCATGTAGCTCTTGGCCATGTGCAAGGGATCTCTGGAGTCAGCCGGCGGGGGAAAAGCAAAGTAATGCGCCTCCGCAAACAAAAGCAAACCTGAGACCACCATGCCAGGACAGAGTTGAAAGGCTCCATGCAATTCCTCAGCTGGTGAAGGAAAGAAGAATTGTGATAGGGGCGGAAAAAACACGGAAGGAATTCGTGCCGCAATGTTCTCCAAAAGCATCAACCAATGGACGTCCCCCCAAGGTCCATGTTGGACGCAGAATCTCCACAACCTGGCTGAAGGAAACGAAAGTGAATCCAAACCCTGCGCCAGGGCGCGTCGAAAGGCATGCTCTTGATCAAGGAGGCTTCTTCCAATGGTGGAGCACTGCTCTTTCCCTGCGGCACAAAGCAAATGCTCCCAATGCATTCCCAAAGCACGGTTGTGGAAGGACTCTTCCAAGTGCCAAGTGCCTTACCCACCTCTCTCCTTCAGCTACTCCCACATCACAGACATTCACAGACCTGACCCCCTGCCTCACAACCTGCCTCACAACGTGCCACGACGAAGCTTTCGGCTAACCCTCGCGCCTCATAGAAGTCCCACAAACGACGTTGGAAGTCGAAGGCGAGGATCTCAGACTCATGGCATCCATCTTGTCCACACATTTCCATCTTCAGCCGGGCAGTCCAGTGGCAGCCCTGAGGTGACGGGTCCGCACGAGACACCACGTGGCGAACGAAACGTCCCAGGAAAAACCATGCATGCCAAGCGAGTCGGACAAGCCCCAAGATCTCAAAGTCAAAGGAACTAAGAATGTCTTGTCACGGGTGGGTCAGGGGGGTGGCTTTCCTATGTCTGCCACTATGGCAAGAGCGATTTGGCCCAAGCTCATTTCTACAAGTAGACGCCGACCACTCCACCCATGTGCCTTCTCTGACTCACGCCGATCCTCCTGAGGCACCTCCTGGATCACTTGAATTCACATGACCCGCCGAATGAGTTCAAGAGTTCAAGATAAACCAATCTGAAGACATGACCCGTTTCTGGGTTTGTTTGTTGATGTTTGGTGATTTCCCTTCTGTTCGATCTACTCCAGGATGAAGCGTTATAGGATAAAGTTCTACAGACTCCATCCTGAAGGCAGGCTGGGTCATCTTTGTCTCTGCACGGCGACCGGAGAAGTTGACGAAATCACATGGAATCAATATGTGCAATGCGATCAAGAACTCAGCTTGGGACATGGCTAGTCGGATTCGAATCCAAGAATTGGGAAATCATTCAGGTTGTTCCACCCAAAACCCGGACAGACGATAGGATCCGATAGGACCACTTCCCCATCGTCCTCGGAGGATGAAATGTCCGGCCTCAGCATCGAGTCGACGCGCGCGCGCGCGCGGCCGCGCGGGCTCGGCACTGGTCGCGCACCAAGAGCTCCCCTCCGCATCTGGATGAAGCATGCACGAAAGAACTCATCGAATGCCGGAAGGCGACACCAAGGTATGGTTTGGTATTCTGACGTCCGTCGCCGATTACAAAGAATCCACCACCATCCAGCCATTTGCGGCTCGCACAAATGCAGCGCTCGCTCCGCTTCTCGACGCTTCGGGACGCGTTCCGGGTCCAGGTCACACGTGCAGTTCGGGGTCGAAGTCCGGTGACTCGCGGGGCACGCCGCTCACCTGCGGTGGAAGACTCCACCACCGAAGGACTTAAAGGAAGGTCCTTGACTTAGGATCACTGAAAAAGACTCCGTGCTTGAAAAATGTCTTGGAAGAACTCCCAGGGAAAATGTGTGAAAAAAACACAATTTTGGAAGGGGCTGCTTTTTTTTAAGAACTGATGGCAGGATGAACAGAACCCGAGCCTGCAACATCTGAGGTCTTTTCAAGACATCCGTGTCTGCAACTGGGAGTGGCAAAATCCGAGTTTGACAGTTCCAAGTGGCCAAGCCAAGGAGGCCCAAGCGAAGCAACCATGCAGCCATCCGAAGAACCATGTGAAGTGTTACTCCAGAACATTGAACATTCACTCGAGCCCCAGGTTTGTGCTGTGCTGGAAGGCATGTGACCTGCACAAGGGAGAGCAATCGCAAAAGGCGCGCTGCATGCTTTCGACGCGCAAAGCGCATGGGCGAGCCGTGCGAGACCGGTCCATCCGAGCTTTTTTCCCGACATCCAGCATGTACTTTGCCATGCATCCGTGTCTACCAGATATCCCTGTAAGAACCCTTGACACCACCGGCATTCTGTGAGTGAAGACCTAGCAACGGCGTCAGGAGGTCCCAGGGCAGCATTTAGGTAGCCGAGTTCGGCCTCATTCAGCCTAGTTGGCTGGAAAAGATGTGTCCTCGCCACGTGCGCCCAGAATCATTGCCCGGGCTCACAAGCGGTGCGTGGTCTCCATCAGACCTCGACCAACGGACCGCGCTCTTCGACGCTTCCACCGGACGGCGCTGTTCGGCCGGACGGCGCAGTTCCCGCGCCTGGAGCTCCGGCGGGATCTCCCGCCGCATCCTGCGATGCTCCGCGTCCGGGTCGGGGGCAAAGGGTCCGATCGGTGTGTTTGGATTTGACCCAAATCTATGGGGACCGGTGCGACGTTGCGCCAGCTGTGGACGTCGCCACCCAGCTTGGCTCTTCCGGGGAGCGAGGCGAAACAGGAGGCGCTGCTCAAGACTGACTTGAAAGGGACAACAAAAAGGCGCTCTTCGGCCATGCAAGGGTCCGTGTTGCCGAGGATCATGGGAACCGGCATCTCTGCCTAAGCGAGTGGAGGAACAGATGGTGTCCTCGTTTGACAGGAACACTGTACAAAGTGCTGGCGTTTCACTCTACTTACCAACTATGTCCCGTTGAAAAATCTATGTAAGCGTGACAGCTGCTGACCTCTTCCTGCAAACTAGGGCCTGGAGCATCCTGAGAGGCTTCAAATGCGACAAATCCCTTTAAGTAACAGGCTCTCCCTTCCTTCCTTTGAAGTTCAGCTGCCTCCGCCTGTCAAGCATCGAGCAAGATCCATTGAGTTGACCAAACTGTGAGGTGGCTCTCACTCACTCACTATACTCACTCACTCTCTCTCTCTCACTCTCTCTCACTCTCTCTCACTCTCTCTCACTCTCTCTCACACTCTCTCTCTCTCTCTCTCTCACTCTCTCTCTCTCTCTCGCTCTCTCTCGCATGGATGTGTGGATCAACTCCGTCACTTGAGCTCCTTAGCCCCTCGAACAATGAGCTAACAAGAATCGACCACGGCTCTGTTTTCGGACGCCCTTCCTCTCTCTTCTCAGGGACCGGGCATGAGCAGGCGGTCGAGGACGTGTAGACAGTGTAGAGAGCAACTCTCCCACACTCGCCATGCCTCAAGTGCCGAAAGAACCCGATCCAGAACCCCCCAAGTCGCTCCCTTTGCACCATGCAAGACCATTTCCAATTGACATGCTCATGAAGACTACTCCAGCCACTGAGCCTCTGACTCGTGCTCTCCGGGAGCAACAGGAATCCCAAAATCCGCGGGATCACCTGCGCCGGGCTCCAGCCCCTCAAGACCCGCTAGCGCCCGCCCGACCGCCCGACCTCCGCTGGCTTGTCGCAGAGGGCGATGTGGCCGGCTTGTGGGATCACCAGCAGCTTCACGTTCGAGAAGAAGCTCGCAACCTGCGGCGAAAAGTTTGGATGCCAGTGGTTTGTTGCTCACCTCCTGAGCCTTGAATAGGACCCCCGCCACACAAAGGAAATTACCAACGATTCAGCACAAACCCGAGGAAAATACAGGCAAAACGACTGACGGCTGTTCAGTGGTCTTTCCCGCTTCTTCTCTTGATTGCTCTCTGAATGGAGAACAGGCATTGAAGAAAGCAAGAAATGAACACAGCTGCTCAACGAGCTTTGACATGCAAAAGTATCGCATAATTTCGCTCTGCTAGCAATGTTTGGGATCTCAATACGCATCACCAGCATCATCACGCCAGACACATTCGCATCATCCGTCTTGTATATTTCTGCAGCTTTTCTCTATCCATGAACCAGTGAACAATTTGCGAAATTCTAATGCACAATAGTGCATCAGTCCTACTGAGTCCTCTGGTTTCCACCCAGCGCCGCTCCCATCAGGCCCCACCTTCTGCCCAACCGTGGCTGGCGGGTTCAAGTTGTCTCGTTCACCCCACACTAGCAGGGTTGGCCTGGGATGCCTGCGTGGCGCAAGGGAGCCGGCTCCGGCTGTGGCACACCGTGGTGAACCCGTGACAGGTGACCTACTTTTGTTGCATCTTGGGCCTATCCCATTACCAGTGGCAGTGGAAAGGCCATGAAAGGCCGGTTTATTCCTCCGCATCACCTGCCTGCCCACTTCGCGGTACAAGTTCGCCAAGTTGAACCAGTTCACCTGCCAGTTGACACTCGCAGCTACGCTTCAGGTGCAAACCAGTTGTTCAGCATTCTTCTCAGCCGGCTGAGGATTCTTGCCGCCCCCGTTTCTGGTGCCATACCCATATGCCAAACCTTCATATTTCAATCACTTTGTCACCTTCAATTCTTTCGGTTTAAGACCCAACCCGTGTGCGCACCCGGTCACAGATGGCCAGCGTGGCACTGGCTACCCCGCGCTTGACAAAAAGCTGCCAAACCTGGGCGGAGGCATCGGAGGCATCGGAGGCTTCACCGAAGGAATTGCGCTGCAACAGGCATTCACCCACTCCAAAAAGGGCGCATGGGCGCGCACACATGCTATAGCGGCTATGGCCTGGCTATGCCTGGCCCGGCCCTCCTACCACCCATCCTAGACCTGGCAAAGCCTCACCGTCACAATGTTCTGGAAAAGAAAAGGCGCACACGCCCAGCCCAACTTTTTGAGCTAAGACACAAATCTCGACCACAGATTGGTGATGGCTTCTTGGTTCATCGCCTGCAAGCCCCCTAAAATTCCAAGCGCGGATCCCAAAAATGAAAGAAACAACGACATGACTCATGACTAAAGACAGACTCAGGATACAACTCTCGCACATTGTCGCATGTAGTTCTTCGTAATTCAATACACGCTGCATGAACTGACCAAACTGTTCCTCAGCAGATGGTCAGATTCCCGCCCCTCACAAAGAAAGCCTGAGCTTGTGGATCTCCTCGCAATGACCTGCCGACAAAGCACTGCTCACGCCATCGCTCACTCCTCCGTTCGTCATCGCCCGGACGGGTCGGACGGGCCGGACGGCCTCTCGAATCGATCCTTCCGGTACCAACATGTGCAGAGAACGTGCGGGGCCAACGGGATGAGGCAGCACCAACAGGCCTAGCATGGCCCAGCAAGCTGCCAAGCGAAGTGACGACGGCGAAGCGAAGGGATTTTTTAAGAAGATAGCCTAGCACAATCATGCAACAAGAAGCTCAGCCCGTGCACAGCGAAGCGAAAAACATCGAAAAACCGCCGAGGATCGGGCCCGCAGCAAGTAGTACAGCTTCGGAACCTTTGGCACGAAGCCCGCCGGAGAGATGGCGACCATGCGTCGGACCTCAGAGCACTCGGGGCATCCGTCCTCATCCGCGCCGTCCGCGCCGGTCCAACGTGGTCCGACGAGAACCTTCTGGGCGCGGCGGCTCGACGAGGATAGCGGTGCGCAAAGGCCATGGCCACAGCCCCTGGGCGAAGCGCCAAAGGCGCGCAAAGCGCGAAGCACGGCTGGGCACGGACGACACGGAACGTCCAAACCGACATCGGCCACGCCGCCGGCGCCCCATCCAAAATATCCAAGAAAGGCGCCTCCCAAGCTGAAGCCCACTAAGTTGACACGTGATTCGCCCAGACCTTGGTCGAAGCTGCGAAGCTCGCCGGGCAGCGCCCCGCAGTTCTGCATGGTGGGAACTCACTCGCAGAACCGGTTGGCCCACCGAGTGCGTGTAGCAAGTCGGCGGTCTGCTCGGCGAAGAAGCCCAAGTCGTACCTGCAGGGTCGGCGCTCAGACCGCGCAGACCGCGCCGCGTTCACCATCCGAACCCCCGGCGTGCCTTCCCCTGGCGCCGCTCATCGAACAGCAGCCCGGAAGACAACAGGATGAGCATGCGCCACTGGGGCACAAGTCCTATGATCAGCCGAAAACGGATGCAAGATCTTCAATGCAAATCTTGCAGCTGAGGTGCTACAGGCGGCGCATTACTCAAGCCATGGCCGTAAAGGTCCTCAACAAAAAAGCAAACTAGACATGTTCGATCTGTTTACCAACGAACACTTCCCGTGACGTGACTTCTTGACTTCAGCGGCCCGAGGGTCGAAGGTCAGAACACGAAAACCTCCATGCCGTGCCAAGTACACCGCAGTGTCCTGGCGACGAAGCAAGAAACGAAGCGGAAGGTCCTGGAGACCCCAATGGAGACATTTCTGCGATTCAGGAGGTATATTTTTTGGGGGGGCATACTGAGGATGAGCGAAGAATCACCCTGCTTTGGTCCAAGAGTGTTGCAACTTGTGCAACCGTCCTGGAAAAGCATCCGCGTTCCATTCAGACCGTGAAAGCACACCACCACCTGCGGCACAACAAGCTTTCATGCGTGGAAATCAAAAAGGGGGACACAAAAATGTGCCGACCATGGCATGGTGACTTCAAGATCTCCAAGTGTTTATTGGTCTGTCATCCTTGATGTCTTTCCTTGGCGTCTGGCCTCTCCATTCTCTGGACCAAGCCAGGAATAGTTGATCGCCCCAAAGGTGCTGCCAACGACTTGCGCCTAAGACTGTCTCCACCACCGAACCAGCGGAACAGGGAACGAGGGGATCAGAGAAAACCAGTATATAGTTGTTCCCTTTTTTTGTAGCCTGCTCTTACTTAATTAAGTAGGGGAGTAGTTCGTTACTAGCCATACTTAAGCTTCCAGTAACTGGACGCAGGATAGCCAGGATAGCTCACGCTTCTTCAAGGAAGCTCCCCCCCGCCTGAGGGCGGGCGGGAGCTGCGATCGCACTAATGATTTGGTTCCTAGGTTTTAAGGGGAAACTTAACTTTGTGTTACTGTTACGTTGTTACTTTGTCGTTCCTGCATTTCTTGACATCCCTCGCCACAATATGACATCGCCTGCGGGTATGGGCATTGCACCTCACGGAAACACCGCGGAACCTGGACAGCGGGCTGATGGTGCAACAACAGCAACACGTGCTTAGTATGTGTAATTCCCGAACCATCCAGCAGGTTTCAGATGCTGATCCATCCCCAGCCTGGCGCTCCGACCTGCAACGCATTGCCCGGGCTCCATCAGGGCGAACCTGAAGAGAGCATCTACTGATTAGTTTTGGGATGACGTACCCCTGCACATCACCATCATCACCCAAATGGCCCACCTCAGACGTTCCCAAAGAGGCTCCCATGTCAACTCAGGCGTGGCGCATTCTGAGCCATAAACCATAAGCATCACGCGTGGCCCAAGAGCCGCGTGCCAGTATATGGCAGTATGTGAGTCATGTCGAGTCATATGACAATGCTTATTGTTAAGAAAAATTGTCAGACATGCCCTGAACACCGAGCTCACCCTTTGCCACGATCACCTCATCCTCGCACTCACGGCCCTGATCTTCGCAGCAGCCGGAGCACGGTAGTCGGAGCCGACTTGTGCGTGCCCCGACGGTCAAAATCGATTACTCCAGCGGCTCGAACAATGGGAACGCTGCGCAAGCAGCCCCCAGGAAGGGCCTCACTTGGCCTCGGAACAGCGCAGGGATGCTCTCCACCATCTTGTCCATGCATTCGGGGCGCGTCGTGATGTCAGTATGCAAACAAAAGGGTTTGCAAGTGTCCACGACCGTTTGCTTGAACCATAATCCCGCAGCATCCCCCAGCTTATCGCACGCCGAATCACAAAGAGCCGGGTCAGTGGTCTTGGCGCCTGCAGGGCGAAACACGGAGACATCAAAAACACAACAGATGCCTGCGGCAAGTCAACGCCTTCAAACCGCCTGCAGGACACTGTTTGGGGTCCCAAACAGTGCGCAACGCGGGGTCTTCGACCCGCCACGCGCGCAACTCGACGCTCGTCAGAGAATGCAAGAGTAACACTTCCCACCTGAGACCGTGGACCTTTCTTTCACCGGATCTTTCACCAACTGCTCCACCAAAGCTGTGGCGTCTGGAATCTCCTGGGTCAGCTTCCGCAAGATGGCCAGCAGCGGATCAAAGTTGTTCCGCACATTCTCGGCAAAGGCTTCCCAGTAGCCATCGAAATCACCTGTCTTAGACTTGTTCCGAGCAGCTTCCCACAAGCACACGGAGCCTAAAATCTCAGAACATGTTGCGCTTGACTGTCACGCGCCACGGCTGGGAAACCAACGTATATAAGCAGAAACCAGAATGAAAACTGGATACCATTCCAGTTATGCTTTCAAAAACCCAACCAGAAAAAAAAAATCCACAGGAGCACACCGGCCTTGAGAGCACACCTTGCCAGGACCCCCTTCCCGTTCACACAGGTTTCGGGCACCAAAGATCTCACCCTTGGCATTCGTGACACAGCGTGTGCGCTCCAACACGTCCTGCAAAAAAAGGCGCACTGTCAACAATAAACTGGATTGACAAAAACCAAAAACTTCATTCCTCTATTCAACCCTTTTTTTGACATTTGAGATTTTTTCTTGGGAATGATTGGTGCATATGAAAATATTGGTGTGTAGGCAATGCAAGGATTTATTTTAAAAAAAAACGCTTCAGATAGTTGTATATATAAAATAAGTTTTTGGTGGAGATGTTGTGATGTCGTCAAATCCTCCCAATCATAAAAATATACCATCTTTACCTCGACTACGCGATAGGGGCTCACGCGGGGCGCGCGCGCTGCTTGTGACAACTATTAAAAGGCTATATAGAGGTGGTTGTGCGATTGTGAAACCAGGTGCGACGAGTGTTGCAAGCACACACACCCAAAAAAAGAAAGGAACGTACTCTCCCTCCTCATCCCTCTCTTGACGCTGTAATTCTGCCGTGCTTTCATGGCACTTGTTCCCAATGCCACAGGGAAGGCAGGGAGTGCCAGGAATACAGGGCCTGGCGTCCCTGCATTGTCCCCAACACTCGGGATAGTTATAGCTGCAAGTGGTTCGGAAGCTGAGGAAAATCTCCAAAGACCTCTCGAGAAGAGGCACATACTTTTGGGCCATCCGTCTCAGCGCCTCAAGCCTCACTTGTATTGCAGTTCCTTCAACTGTGCGGGCCCACTCGGCCAAAAAGTTCAAGTGCAGAAGAACAAATTGAAATTGGAAATAGAAGGCACCCTTGTATAGAAAGTGCTTGCAAGTGTCCGGGGGCGAGTCATTGAACCGGCCATTGCTGTAGCAGCCCACGCTTGCTCCAAAAATGTCTTTCATTTGGCTTTCCATGATTGAAGTCTTCGTGCCGTAATAGGCCACTTTCTGGACACGATACTCTCCCGCCGGCATGGTGTCTGTGATGGGGTGCAAGTCAAGTGGCATGGATTCCAGGCTTCGCACCAGGTCAGAAACCGTCTCCCTACAAGATACTAAAGCTGACTCTACCAGCTGTTTCTTCATCATGTCTCCGACCTCCTTCATGATCTTCTCATACAATGCCTTCAATGCCTTTTCGATTTGTTCCCCGATGCTGGGCGAGGAGGACCCAAAGAATGCCAAAGCAAAGGTCAAGAAACCGGACAGGAACGGCCCCACGGTGGGAACGAAGTTCGCCATGTTGGCCGCGATGCCTCCGAAGCCTTGGACGAAATCCACCCATTTGACCTTCCCATCCTTCGACCAGCTGGTGGCAAATGCCACGGTGTAAAACATTCCCTGGATCATGGCCCCTTGGAAGGCCAGGTTGCTTTTCACCACCTTGCCATCTGTCCCAATCCCGCTTGGCCACTCCATCTTGTCCCATTTCACTTTGCCAATGCCATCTGCAATATCTTTGAAATCTTTCAATTTGGCTTCCTGATGCTCATAGGCCGCGGGTTTCAAAGGTGCAGGGCATGGTTTCTCCCACTTCGCCAGCCAAGCATCAACATCCTTCACAGACTTCCAACCCAAGCCCACGCTCTGCCCCAATGGCAGCAGCTCAGAGTGGTTGCTGTATGGCTGCATGATTCGCTTGAAAGACGCCACGCCCTCCGGAGGAACACAATTTTCCCAGGCCTTTGGATCGTTTGGATCAACCTTGAGGACGCTCCTACCCACCGGAGCGTGGAAGGGAAACCCCACGGCCGGTCGTGTCAAGAGGCTCGTGGAATCATTGCAGGTCTGGTCTTCAATCGGCGTGCCGCGCGGTGCACCGAGAGCGAGCAAGAAGTGAAGTGAAGCCAGGAGGAAAGCCATCGGCGGCCTATGAGGCCCCGAAGGGCGCAATGAAATTTGAGCCAAGCTTGCAGCAAAGGCCGCACAAAATTCCGTCCCATTCGTTGAGGTTCCGCAGGCAATGCAAGTGTCGACAGCTCATGCAGAAGGTCAAAAAAGAAGGTTCAATAACAATGAAGGGATAGAAACACCAGCACGGAACCCTCAAAACAATCATGATGTTAGAAAGAACGAATGGGTCATAGACACAGTAGGGCATGGGGCGATTGAAGTTTTGTTATCTACATTACATGTGCCAGCCTCGTATGCCAACCATTTGGTTTGCCAGCTGGCGGAACTATCAGGCAGCACATTGCACAAACAGTCACACACCCTACCTCCAATTGGATGGGCGGTGCCTTGGGATCAACACTTATTACTTGGAGGCGGGGACCACTGTTTCCTTTAAAAAAGATTGAGGTCCTTCATGTTGTGGTTTAACACATCCAGTCTGACCATGCGCACGTGTGTCCTGTCATGATTTTCGCAACTGTGGCTTCACATCTGTGTTCTCATATGTGCGCTCCATCTGTGTTTGTGCCACCCTCTGTTCCAAAGACTTTCTGTTCTGTTCACCCAAGCCGCAGGGGGATGGAGAAGACATGTGAGGCTCCATCCAACGAAGCTCCTCACATGTTCCTAGGATATCATCAAGGACGCCTGATGACGTACCTGTGCCGTGACGCTGCCCCACTTTTCCTTGCTGTGGTTTGATGCCACGGTTCTTTGATCACGATACCTCTCCCCACAAACAGGTTTCCCTCCGCCGCTTTCCACTGTTGTGCAGCTGCAGTCGCGCATCAACATTGTTGAACTTTTCAGTTTTGCTGATTTGCGCCATTCCGTTCCCTCACTCCTTTCGACGTGGAACAGAGTTGACTGCAAATTATCTAAGTGTGTGCAAGCTACGCCCTTGTCTGTGTCTTCTCACACGCGCTCATACCTGTGTAGCGCTGTCTGTCAGAAGCGCGCGTTTTCATACATGTGCTCCGTGTTAAGTGCACGCCTGCCCGTATCCCATGCGTGCGCATCAAGTTTTTGGGACAAAAGGCGGCAGCGTGCAGGAGTCCGCAACACAACGGCACGTTTCGCTGTTCATTTCAGGCCACGGCTTCTTGCACAATGCCAGCTTTAGCAGCCACAACATCATCTGCAGTTTTCATATCACCCTTTGCTGCTTGCAGTAATAAATTGTTCAATGATTTGTTGTGCGCTTCATAAGTCATGTGTTGTTTTTTGACCCTATCCCTGTTTCAGGCCGTTTCCAGTCCAAATATTTGCCCTACGCATGCAGCACCGTTAACGCAACCATGTTCAACCACCGCCACCAAAAACAGACAGACCTCCAATCCCTGCGCTCGGGGATGCCCGCGGACAGTTACAGCAAAAACATGTGTTCTATTTTCATGACCTAGGGTGCAAACAAGCCGTTCCTTTTCGGTTTTCACCAATTCCTCGTGTAAGTTCCGGACACATTTTTGCGAGCATTTTTTCCCTATGCCGCTGACACTCTGGGCCATCCGCACAGTTCCCCACAACCTTCCGTCTGCACAAGGGGTGAAGCATGAACACGAGGATGGTAGTTTCCTGGACACCCGGTGCCCACAATGAACCAAGCCCGCGCAGCCACCAGCTTCTTGGTTTTCGAAATCCATGTTCCATGTTTCACAGCCCAAGGCATTCAAGCAACGGACCCCCGTTGCCCACATTGCACGCACGTCTTGCGCCGTTCCACTACTCCCCCTCAAAAGAAGTGTCGCTTGGATGTCAAGCAGCACAGGTGGGACTCTGGATCTAAGAGGTTGTGAACATACCTTTCGAGCCTACCCCATACCCAGGGTCCGTCGCTTCGCACAGGGAAAGAAAACCGCACCTTGACGTGGAAACCGCTCGGCTGGCTTGTAAACCTGCCGAGTCCAACGTCTTGCTGCGCGATGCCAACTTCAAATGACCTCCACTGTCAATTTTGACTTTGACTTTGGCCTGTACGCCGTCAGGCGGGCCCGTTTTGGGCGCAGGCGCCTCAAGTGAAACCAAATTACGCAAGAGAAATTTCAGAACGTTAGGCCAAGCAGAAATCGACAAATTCATCCCTGTAATGGTCCCAGTTTGAGAAATCCATAAACCTCCGATCTCCCAAGCCTTTGTATCGGCAAAAATTTTCCAATTTACTGTGCCAAAGTTCTCTCGGTCGTCCAACTCTACGTCGCCCAACCGGGTTCCAAGCCAAAATTCGTCGGACCCAACGGTTTGGAAACACGAGAGAGATATGCCGTGCAAGGGTCCGGTATTGGTTGCACCACCGGGCGGCCCAAGTTTGGATTTGTGAGTGTGCGATGAACATACGCACCCTTTCGTTCCAAGCATGAAGAACCTCGTGCCACTCCAGCGACCAGTCCGTACCCGAAGGTGGTAACACGATGTTTCGGCAAAGTTTTCTGAACACAGCGTCCAAAGTGTGCAACTGTTTTTTGTGGATTGTTCGGTGTCCTGAAGCAAAACATGCGACACCGGAAACACACGCGTCGAAGTATTTCAAACGGTCACCAAGCCTTGCCCCGCGATCCAGCAAAATGCGTTTGTTGGCCCAGAAAGCTTTCGTTGCTTGTTGCAAATGATACTCCATGTCCACATCTTGACCTGCGGTACCGCGTGCTGTCAGCATGCACCCGAGCCATTTGTGGCCTTCTTCCGACTGAATGATTTGGAAAGAAGGGCCAGTTGGCAAAGTCAATTGTTGAGGAGGTTGTGCTTCATTGGTCGGGAACACGGCTTTATCAGGATCCAATACCAAGCCAAAATCAATTCGGTCTCACTCGCTGACGCGGCGAACAAAACGTCATCTGTGAATCTTAATTCCAACAAACGCTCCATGCCCCCACCCACAGCACAACGCCAGATTTCCATTGCTTCTTGCAAGACTGCACTGAACAAACGCGGGCTTAAGACACACCCTTGTCGCACACCTGCTGAAATTGAAAATGCGCGGTTCCGGCCACTCTCGTTTTTCACTTCCCCAGTTTGATTTTCGTAGTTTGTGCAATAGCCAAATCAAATGTTGAGAAACGCCTTGTTTTTCCAGTGCTGTCCATAAGGCGGGCCAACGCACACGATCGAAAGCTTTCGACAGATCCAAGCTAACAATCCAAATTGTTTTGCCAAATGCCCGTCCCTTATCCAAAAACATGCTTGCAAGCACCAAATGTTCCTCCAGGCGGCGGTTTGGGCGGCGGTTTGGACGAAAGCTGTAAGTTGCACACACATATCCAAAAGGCACTGCAAAAACTCATCCGGGATAAATTCCAAAAGTTCCGCTGCAATGCCGACAGCGTCGGGGGCCTTGCTCACTTTCAACCGACGGATCGCTCGCTGCAATTCTTGCAATGTAAATTCCACTTCACCCAAATGGACCGGGCCAACGGAAACCAATTCAAAGAGACCAGCAAATTCGTCAGCGAGCGGTTGTTGAACCATCTGCAGACAATTGCCTCCGTAAGTCCTTCCAACATGAACTGTTCTGCAAGGCCGGGTTGCTCTCCAATTTTTCAGTTCCGAGCGGTGCAATTTTCGCATTTGCACGCCTCCTATCACATCGGAGAGTTCGTAGTTGTGTGGACGGTGAGAAGTGTATATTCATCGGCCGAGGTTCTCCGCAAACACGAGCGGCATTCAAAAGAATGTCCTCCAACTTGTGCCATGTAAGTGTTCCAATCCGCAGTAGTTCTTGCGAAATGAACGCCTGGTATGAAGATGGAAGTTTGTTATGATCAACTTTTGGCTTCCAATTTTTGAGACGATGGTTTCGAGGCACAGGCCTTGGAGAACACGATGCCAGTTCTAGAATGCAATGGACGCATCTGTGACCCAACCCAATCGGCAACGCAAAGTCACACCAGGGTTTGACCAAACGAAGCCTCCACTGTGAAAGACATACTTTTCAGGTCTGAGGGATTGTGCTGGTTTGTAGGCCAGCCAAACCGGATTGCCAGCTCCTCGGCTGGGCGGCCCGAGGCGGGCCGTTGCCGGCACTCCCAAAAGAGATGCCGAACATCGGGGCGACGCAAGTTGGGCTGAGAAAACCACCAGTGAGAACTGCCACTGCTGCACCTGTTGTGTCGGCGAGCTGCCTGAGTACAATAATGGCACTGTTGACATCTCCACCATGTGGTTGAAGTTCGGTCCAGCAAACTGTTGGACTCTCCAGGTGCGTTTGCACAGGCTGTAGTGCCACAAACACCCACGAGTGAGCCAACCAAGCAACCCAACCAGCCAACCAACCAACCAACCAAGCAAGCAACCAAGCTCCAGGAGCATCGCACGTGCAAATTGAGCCAACAATTCTGAGCGGGGGCCCGAGCTTCGGCAGCGCATCGCTTGGCCCAAAGCAACACCTTGAAAACATAAGTCGGCTGATTGGGGGACGAGGCCAACTGCATTGCGGAACCGGTGCCAACCTCGAGCATTTGGACAAATTCCATGTCCGATCGTCCATGTAGATAACATGCGGGTGGTTGTTCAACTGGTTGGTATTTTGTCCCTCCCCCGGCGGCATGTGTCTCTCAGAGTTGCGACCGTGTCAGTCTCAGCTGGCCAGCTACACATCCGCTCAGAATCGAGGAAGGTCCAACGACCAAATCCAAGCCAAGGAAGTCCAACAGCAAATTCACGGGGGAATCCAAGAGATGAGCGCGCCGGCGCGGGGGGCGGTAGCCGCGAAGAGGGAGTCGTCTGGGCTCAACTTGGGTGCCTGGGTGGATGCGAGTAGCTGGTCCCATGCTGGTGGGTTCCATCCGTGTTGCTGATGAGCTGGGTTGTTCGGCTGACGGCTTGGAACTGTTCTGGTGCGGTGGTTGGGTTGGACAGGTGTTGAAGAAAGGTGGCTGCGAGATCGGGCTTTTGGGTGTGTAGGACTTCTGCCCATGCAGCGTGCGCCATACAGGTGGCAGGAGGTAGGCCCAGCCCTCCTACTGCATTTGGGCTAG